TGCTTCCTCCTCCCTTTTGCCTCCTGCACGCATTTTGCAGCTGCTGCTGTCAGCCGCTTCCTGGTGAGATACGAAGGCTGCAAATGGACCCCCCCACCCCCCACCTTCTCGTCTTCCCCCTGGAAAGAACTGGTGCAGTGCAGCAGCGGAGAGGAGAGGAACTAAGTCGGCCGAACTCTTTCCTCCCTCCCCGCAGGGCTGGTAAACGGAAGCAGCAGCAGGGATTAAAGAATAATAATAACAATAATGATGATAAATAATGATGATGATGATGATGATAATGAGGAGGAGGAGGAGGAGGAGGAGGAGGAGGAGGAGGAGGAGGAGGAAGAAGAAGAAGAAGAGGAAGAGGAAACCTTTCCCAAATTGCACAACCGTGGGGGTTAAACCTGGGAATGTTGATTTTTGCCTGCGCTCTTCTTTAAAGTGGCTCCACTCACCCCAAACCCAAAGGCAGGGAGAGAAACGAGGAAGCTGAGCCACAACCTATCTTCCTCTTCCTCCCCCTCCCCCCACTACTTCTTTTGAGGAGGGGGCTCCTGGCCTGGGGGGTGGGGATCAGAGACCCAAGGGCCGAAGGTCTCTCCTTCCTCACCGGATCCTCTCCTCCTCCATCTCTTCCATCTTCTCGGCTCTCGCAATGACTCGGTTGATGATCTCTTTCTCTTCATCGGTCAGTTCCTCGGCCTTCCGCCCCCGTTCCAGCTGCTTTCCATGGGCTGAGTGACCCTCAGGAGCTCTGGGGGGGGAGAAAAGAATAGTGCCCGTCACCCCATAAAGAAGGACTCTGTGCCAAGCCTTGAAGAGTCCTTGAAGAGCAAAATGGGCCACCATAGAGAGAGCTTTCCCACTGAGATTCGCTTATTTATTTCCTTTCTAGCTCGATTCCTGTCCTTTGCTACAAAACTAGGTGGTCGGGCTTAGTTTTGGGGGAGGAAAATAAGGGGGGGGGGGAGTATTCTGCCTCTGCCTACTAGCATGCATTGGTATTCATCTGGCTAGCGTCCTGTCAGTGTGTGAGAGTTGAAGGATGTTTGGACACTGAAACAGTATTTGCTGTGTGAGCAAGAAGGAGACAGCAAGGAGCCTGGGTGGCTCAACTTTTCTGTACTAAAGCTGCTTGGTTTTCTGAAACTGAAACTGAAACCGGATCTCCCCTCCTCTGCTTGTGTTTTGCGTTTGGAACAGGTTTCTTATCAGGTGGGGAGGAAGAGTAGAACTCCTTAGCATCCGAGCGTGTCAATAATATAGGAAATACTAAATGCTGAGATGGTCATTTGGAAAAATCCTTTCTTAGTGAGCCCCTAGAAGCCAAGAGGAACCTACGGGCCAAATTTCAAGTTTGTAAGTTTTACGGTTCTGGAGGTTTTGTGATGATGCGTGAGGGGTATTTCGCTTTTCTATATCTAGATTTCATTTCATGTTTCTTAACCACCTTAAAACCTGGATTCATAAGGCGCTTTCGGTGCCGGTCCGTATGACCAGAAGGCACCTGAGCAGCCTGCAGAGAACTGCTCCCACCCCTTCCGAAGAAGACCCCCCCATAAGTGGCCCAGCCTGGCCAAGGCCCTTCCCACTAGCTGTGGCTCCCAGGCGTGGCACATGGGATTCGCTGCAAGAGACTGGCCTTGAGGGGCCCCTCCTGGGGGACATCATCTTCTGGAACAGGGCTTGTTCAAAAGACCCAACCACCGGTACCGCCGATCCATTCAGGCTGCCACCAGCTGCTGGGGCTCCAGAAACAGGAAAAAGCTCGCTTGGGTTTGCCAAGTGGAAAAATAAGGGTTGTGCCTCCGAAGCCAGTTCCTTTAATCATCTGTTTGTCCTCTTCAAATAATAAGCCAGCATTTTTGGCTCATGGTGTTGTATAAATCAGCCGGCTTCGTTTCCTGACACTGGCAGGCTATATTTTGCTAAATAATAAAAAGGAATTTGCGTGCATCGGGTGATCCTCTCCGAGGGGTTGCAGAAAACAGGCTCGCTGCAGTTAAAGTGAATCAGGACGAGACTAAGGGAAACATATAAGTATATATATATCTATATATCTATATTTGATGGGAAAGACCTTACGGGCAATTGCTCCTTTTTTGAAAATGCCAGAAATTTTATAGAGTGCAGGAACTAAAGCCTAATCACAAAAGTATTGGCAAAGGAATAGCAACCCTAAAAATGATAACAATAATAATACTAATAGAACTGAGGTTTCGATGTGCCAAAATTCACCAGCAACGAATGTCAAGATACCCGCAGAGCCATGGCTCCAGCAGCCAAATCCCTCTGGGCTGTGCTCTGCCCCCCCCCCCCCCGCCAGTGACCTGCAAGCAATTTAAAACCTAATGAATTCCCTCCCTCCCACCCTTCATATGTCTTCTCTTTCCTTCTCCGCAGGCCATTAGCATCCAGGCAGTTGATCAGAGAGCAAAGAGTTCTTGTGCAGAGCCAGAGATGCATATATTATTTAAATTCCTGGAATTGAATTCAGGCACTAAATCCAGGAGCGAGGCGAGGTAGAACAGGCGCTTCAGGGTGGAAATTAACAGAATGAATTCAATTATGTGGGGCAAAGCCGGTCAGCGAGACGCGGAGGTCCAACAAGGAGGTGCTGATTAATGCGCAGACAAGCCCTGGGCTCGGAGGCGGCCTTGGGGCGCAGGCACCCATCTTACGATTGGAAAGGAGCAGAGGGTGTGGGGTGGTGGTGGAAAGAGCATCTAGATTCCCTGGCTGGGGGTGGAAGGGGTCCTTGAGGTCATCAGGCCCAGCCTTCGGTTTGGTGCAGGAGCATAGCTAGAGCATCTACAGCAGGGTGGGGCTTTGTGGCAACTTTAGGAGCTGTGCACTTCAACTTCCAGAATTCCTGAGTCCAGAAGTCGTGAAGTTGCCTCCGTCGCCCACCCCTGAAGGAGAGGCCTCTCTACCCCTCCCCTTGGAAACCTCCAGCCTTGGAGACCCCACCGGTTCTCTGGCGCCAGGACCTCCAGCTCCTTCAAAGGGACCCATAACCCCCACGAAACCACCCGTAGCATCACAAAAGACCCTTTGTTTTAGTCCTTTGTGTGCTCTGCACAACCGTGGTGAGCACAGCGTGTGAAGCCACCCGACTAATTCAGGGAACCAGGGTTACCCAAACCGAGGCCTAGTGGGGCATGGACATCCATCTGCCAAAGGGAACTCTACGGACAGAGCCTGCTCACCTGGCCTGAAGAGCCCCCTGCCGATCGCTCTGATACCCCCACTGACTGGGGCTGCTGCTGACTGCCGTGTCCGTCATGGTGTTAAGTCAGGAGAGTCTGAAAAACAAAAGATTTGCAAGTTTGAAGCGGGAGGAGGAAGAGGAGAAGGAGGAGTTGGCCCTTCCAGGAAAGGCATATCTGGATCTCTCCACTTTTGGGGCCATCTGCAGCTGTGATCTCCTTCCCATGCACCCAAAGATCACAGAGGTGGTTGTGGTGGAAGGTAGTCTGGATTCCCAGGAGGGAGGGGCTGCCTTCCAGAGAGCAAAGCATGAGAGAATTTGATTGGCAGAAAAGGGTTCAGGCGGCTCCTCCCCAGCAGCTCCCAGGGTATCAATAGCTGCTTGAGTCTGGCAAGATTCTGTCTAAAGGCAAAGAACAATAAGGGAACTACTCTGAAGCCATGTGGTCTTTCGTGGGGCCGGACACCCTGTGGGAAACATCCCTGGTGCCACCAAGAGCCACCTGGAAACATCCCGAGCTGGAGCGCAAGGGGCGGTTCTCTGGGCCAAGCGAAGCTTTTCTGCCTGCATTGGGGCATCCAGCCATTGCAAGGAGAAAACGTTTCCCAGTAGAGTACTCTTGCAAATGGATTCTTGCTGCATGCCAACTTGCTTGCCACTGGAAACGGGCCAGCAGCATGGCACTTTAGCAATCAAACTGGGAGAGTTGGAACAGGCCCCCCTGGCTCCCTTCGGCTCCCTTCCACCATCCATCATTCCCCGGTTCTGGTGCCTCAGCAGAACTCTGGCAGTCTTTTTGCACAGTCTCCCAACTGTTAATTTTCTAAATGGCTCAGAATGTCTCTTTCTTCAATGTCATTTCTTCTTTGGCCCCCATTTCACAGCAACCGGCAGCCTTCAGGCCGGAATCACAAAATGGTAGCCCTTGGGGCTGGGTGGGGATTTCTGCCTTTGCGGGGCTTTTTTACACCTGGCTGGCCCTAAAAAACACACCTGCAGCCTGCCCAGGTCCACCT